TGTCTTTCAGAAACTGGCTACGGGGAAAATGATTGGTAGTGGTAGAGCACAAGATGGACTGTACTTTCTGGATGTCGTTCCTCCTATATCAACTTTGTCCTCTCAGGCTCTTTAATGCACTTTTGACACCGCCCTTCGTCTTCTTCATCAATGGCATTGTCGTTTGGGGCATCATTCCTTTAGTATTTTGGCTAAACTTTTTCCTTCATTTTTCCTTTTATGCTTATTCATACCGATGTGTGGGGTCCTTCCCTTGTGGTTTCTACCTTTAGTTACGGGTGGTTTGTCACGTTTATTGATTGTTATTCCTGCGCGACTTGGATTTATTTACTTCGAACTAAAAATGAGGTTTTCTTGTGCGTCAAAATTTTTCATAAAATGGTGTCCAATCTCTTCAATGCTACTATCAAAATTCTTTGGAGTGATAATGGACGAAATATGTTGATGGAGCTTTTAGGACATACCTTGAGAAGCATGGCATTTTTTATCAGACTAGTTGTGTTGGCACTCCTGAGCAGAATGGAGTTATTGAACGCAAGAATGGTCACCTCCTTGAAGTTGCTCGCTCTCTCTTGTTTACCATGAAAGTTCGTAGGTCTTTTTGGGGGATGTTGTTCTTACCGCTGCTTACCTTATTAATCGTATGCCCTCTAGTGTCCTTAACTTCCAAATTCCTTTTGAACTTCTTCCTGTGACTTATCCCACTTCTTCCCTTCCGCCTCGGGTTTTTGGTAGTGTGTTTTGTTCATCTTCAACCTCATACTGATGGGAAGTTTGATCCTAAGGCTGTCCGGTGTGTCTCTCTTAGTTATTCTGCTACTCAGAAGGGCTACAAATGCTATGACCCTCACACTCGTAAGTTGTATGTTAGTATAGATGTCACTTTTCGTGAATCTGAGCCTTTTTTCTTTGTCCTCCACTATCTCCTCAGAGGGAGAGTGTTATAGATGAGATTGCGAATGAGGTGGCATCATATCAACATGAGTTGTCTATTTTCTTTTCTAATCAGTGAACTGTTATTTGTGGTAAGGGGGAGCCTAAGAGTTCTGTTGATGAGGAGTCTGATATCGATGGTCGTTTGGACACAGCTGATCTGAAGACTTATTCACGGCGTCAGAAAGAGCAGACTTCTCTTGTGCCACCAGGTTAATCATCATCTCTCATCATCTCTTATGCCAGTTCCACACCCAGTTTCCACTGACTCTACAGGTAATGATCCTCAGTCTATTCTTCACCAGTTGTTGATAGCCCTGTTGTTGATGGTTTGAGTCTTCCTATTGCACTTAGAAAGGGGGTTAGAGCTTGTACTCAACACCCCATTTCTAAATTTGTGTCATATGATTCGCTGTCTTCTACATATTGTGCCTTTGTTTCATCTCTTTCTTCTGTGTTTATTCCGCAGGGTTGGAAAGAAGCTATCAATGATCCAAAGTGAAAGGTAGTTATGGTAGAAAAGATGCAAGCTTTGAGTAAAAATAACACGTGGGAGTTAGTGTCTCTTCCTAATGGGAAAAAACCAGTCGGATATAAGTGGGTGTTCACCATTAAGCACAATGCAGATGGGATGATTGAACGGTACAAAGCAAGACTAGTGGCCAAATGATTTACCTAAACATATGGGATAGAATATCAAGAAACTTTTGCCCCTGTAGCAAAGATGAATTCCATTTGAGTTATTCTTTCGTGTGCTGCTAATTTGAGATAGCCTTTACAACAACTAGATGTGAAAAATGCATTTTTTCATGGGGAGGTGAAGGTGGAGGTATATATGGATGTACCTCTAGGATTCTCATCTCAGTCTACAGTTAGAAAGGTTTGTAGATTGAACAAGGCTTTGTATGGTTTGAAACAATCTCCTCGAGCTTGGTTTGGTAGATTCCTAAAGGCAATGCTGGGATTTAGGTATAAGCAAAGCAATGTAGATCACACCTTGTTTGTCAAACGCAATATACATAAGGTAACAGTGCTTATTGTATATATGGATGACATAGTTGTGACAGGTAATGATGAGGAGGAGGTGACCCATCTCAAGATGCAGTTAGTCAAGGAGTTTGAGATCAAAGACCTTGGTCCGTTGAGATACTTTCTTGGGATTGCCAGATCTGATAAAGGCATCTTTATTTCTCAAAGGAAGTACATTTTAAATCTGCTTGAGGAAACAGGCATGTTGGGCTGCAGACCAGCTGATTCACCGATTAAGACCAATCATCATCTTTATAGTGGGGTTGGTGAGCTTGTGGAGAAGGAAAGATACCAAAGACTTGTGGGAAGACTGATATCTCTATCTCATACTCGTCCAGATATTGGCTATGCAATTAGAATAGTGAGTCAATTTATGCATGATCTTCGTGCAACTCAGTCTATTGCATTTTGAGGTACCTTAAATCTGTTCTTGGAAAAGGAATTTTATTTTCTAATCATGGTCACTTTAGGTTGGAAGCATTCACAGATGCAGATTGGGCAGGCAGGCTCTATAGATGACAGACGCTCTACCTCCGATTACTATACTTTTGTAGGGGGTAATCTAGTCATATGGCGTAGTAAGAAGTAGGCGGTAGTATCCAAATCTAGTGCTGAAACTGAATACGGAGCTATGGCACATGGAACACGTGAACTGATATGGCTTCAATCTTTATTGAGTGATATAAGGCTTGATTGTAGTGATCCCATGACTTTGTATTGCGACAAGAAGGCTGCCATTAGTATTGCGCACAATCCTGTTCAGCACGACCGGACTAAGCATATTGAGATTGACAGACATTTCATCAAGGGGAAGTTGAATAACGGTATGATATGTATGCCTTTTGTTAAGTCTGAAGATCAACTGGCGGATGTTTTTACTAAGGGTCTTAGTAGTAAGGTCTTTCACTCCGTTTGTTGCAAGTTAGGCATGAGACACATCTTTGCACCAACTTGAGGGAGAGTGTTAAGTGTAAGAGGTAGTTTGGTCTTTATGTCTTATTCTTATTATTATAAATAGTTGTGTGTAAAAGGGGGAAACCCTATGTTTTTTAATCAATATTATATACAGCAGCCGTTTCTCTCTCTCTCTACAACTTCTTCTCTCTCTCACTGTACAACTTCTTATTCTCATCTATACATTCAACACATTCAACAATATTGCTGGAAATTTGTGTTAATGCATATAATAAGATAGTGGCATATGATAGTGGTGTTGGTGGTAGATAGTGGCATGTATAGAATATGATAGTGGTGTTGGTGGTAGATAGTGGCATGTATATTAGATGATAGTGGTAGATAGTGGTAATATATAATATGTAAGTGGCATATAATGGGTTATAATGATGTTTGTAGTATCTCCTATATAAGGAGTGTCATTTGGTTTTGTAAAATAAGAAGTTTTGAATATAATAGAAATATATTCCTTCTTCCTCATATTTTCGGAGTTCTTCTTCCTCATATTTTCTAAGTTTCATTTTGATTTCTATATTCAACATCCATGTGCTATATCGTTTTACCTTGTCCATGTTGAAGCCTGTCTGGACCAACCTTGAAGAGGTGGCCCAAATATAGGAGTGGTGTTTTTGAGGCTTGTGTCCTCCCCCGCTGTCTCTCTCAAGGTACCTTTGTATTTGCTCGTTACGTTTGTTAACTCTCCAAAAATTATGTTGGCCTAGTTTGCCTCTTTTAGTGTGCACGGTCTTCTTTAGCTAATGACATGCCTCAGCCTTATTCTTCATAACATTTTTAGCTCCCTAATCTGAGTAGATATCTCAAAGATGCATTTTGGGCTCAAGAAACCTTTGACTATCATTGATAAGTGTTCATGAGCATGAATATGTCCAGCCAAGCTGTCTTAAATAGTTTTTATTTTATTTTAAAATCTATCTCTTGCTCTATAATAGACATGTATGTGTATTCATAGATGTAACCAGTGTTTTAAAAAGCGCGCCTAGGCGCTAAGCAAGGCGAGGCGCAGGGTTGGAGCTCGAAGTAGACGAAGCGAGGCGTATTGCAAGAAGCACACGTAAGGCACTGAGGCGCGCGCCTTTCGCCTAGGCTGAAAGCTCACGCTTCGTGCGCTTCGGCTAGGGCTGACTTGTTTTGTGTTTGTGTAATAGCCACGTGGGATTAAAACTCTTATACAATACAAATATGTTGGTGAGCTTCTTCGAATCGATTGATCTGAGCTTCGACATGGACTGATCTGAGCTTCTTCAGGTTCGTCTCTACTTCTGCTTCTTCTCTTCTCTCTCTGCTTCTTCTCTTCTGCTTCGCCTTCTCTTCTCCTCTCTTCTCTTCTCTTCTCTTCTCTTCTTTCGTCGTCTTCTCTCTCGTTTCAGTCTGGCTCACGATCGCGATCTCTCTCGCCTTCTCTCTCGCGATCGCTGTCGCGATCTCTCTTTCTCTCTCTCTCTCTCTCGCTCGCTTCTGTCTCTTGATTCATATATATAATACATTATATGATACCTATTATATAATATACTTATATATTATATTATATAATACCTATAATATAATATTATATAATATAATATATAATATATAATATACTTATATAATATATAAAATATAATATATACTTGTTCATAGTAATAAAAAAAATAAACACATGTATGTAAAATAAAATAAAAAAAAATTAATTAAAACACATTATTTAAAAAAATATAATAAATAAATAAAATAAAATATACATTAAAAAAATTAATTATTTTTTTTCTTCTCTTCTCTTCTTGTTAAAAAAATTAATAATATACATATTAAATACTTTCTATGTTGAAAATTGTGTTATATTAATATTTTGCTTAACTTTATAACTTGTGCCTCGCTTTGGTGAGGCGCGCGCCTCGGCGCTTAGGCTCCAAGTGACCTTGGCACCTCGATATGCCTAGAGCTTTTTAAAACACTAGATGTAGCTATGCAAATGTATAAATTGGTATACATATATATCTATGTAACTATTGTCATGTGTGCACATATATTTCTTCATTATGCTTGTGAGTTGAGAGAATTTTTTATCTCACTTCTTTTTGCTGCAGTCTGTCCTTGTCACGATTGATCGCCATGAATGGTATGCCCCTCCTCAGATTTACACTCGCAATGACAGTACTGGTTTATGGACAATAAAGCCTGCTTTGCCACCTGAATCTCCATTCTTGTCCCTTGGCATGAATAAGGCCGAAAAAGCTCCTGCAAAACATACAGCTCCATTAGATGCTGGTGAGGCTAGTCTAATGGAGCATGTGCATCATGATATCAACCAGGAATCAACAGATGGTTCCACTAGTATCGAAACTAGTTCTGAATATGTTGCTGTGGGATTACATTCTCGTGATGACTCTGACATTGGAACCAAAAAACGGCAAGTAGAAGAGGATTCATCTGCTGATAGCATTGTTATCGCTAACTGTTCCTTACATGAGCCTAGAGAAGAAAAGTTGGAGGACTCGACAAACTCAGAAAATGCTTTCCTGGAAGATTATCAAGGTGTATCAGTCACAGCAGCTAATGCTTCAGTAGCTGAGCGTGTTATAGAACCTACTCTTGTGATGTTTGAGGTAATTTTGTCGAGGATTCATATTATACTGTCTTTGTTGGTTGTCTTTTGACTGTTTATTCTATTGTATTAATTTTTTGTTTATTTTTGCTATTTTTGTTTATTTATCATTACTATTATTAAGTATTGTCATTACTATTAGTAATGGAAATAGTAGAAGTTGTTTGTTGCTGGATGGCATCAGACTTGGCAGGATTAAGAGTCATTGGAAAAAAGAATAATATAAAAAGAAGGCAAAAGATTTGGAAAGACAATTACTGAGCATGGATGTGTAAATGCTAAGTCCAGAAGATACTTGTGAGTCGTGACCATATTAGTTATTAAGCGGATGAAGAGTTGGGATTCAAAACAAATTTGGTATTCTTGAAGAAGTAATCCTCTCATCATTTTTCTCATGGATCTGCTTTAATTCTATTATAAAAGTGCAACACCTTTTCTCTTCTACACCTATTTGGCCATTTTGATTTCTCTTTCATGATATGATACATGAGGTGACAATGATGTAGGCAATATTTGCGTTCTTGAAACAATATATATGTGAGAGGGAGATAGAAACTATGAACCCACTGATGTTTCCACTTGTACTGCCTTTAGCCCAATGTTACTCAGATGCAAACTGTTTTCATACAAGGAGATCACAGTATAAAGAACAAAATGAAATATTTGAATTTTGCTTTCATTTCCGCCGTCAAGCATATGGTCCTTCTGAGATTTGTGTATGAGTTCTGTCTGTGTTTTCATGAACTATAATTTATTATTATTATTATTAAAAATTATTGTTACCATAGCTATGGTAGTTGCTGTGTGGTTGAGAATGGTTTGATGGATGAGCATTTTCAAATTAGTAATCCTTTAAGAAGTAATTCACCTGATGTGAAAACTTGCAGGTTCATGTACCACCATCATGCATGGTTGATGGTGTGCGCTCGCAACATTTTTTAGGAACTGGTGTTATTATATATCATTCTCATAACATGGGATTGGTTGCTGTTGACAAAAACACAGTTGCGATATCTGTGTCTGATGTGATGCTCTCTTTTGCTGCCTTTCCAATTGAAATCCCTGGGGAGGTAAAATTTTAAACGTTGTTCAGGACTGAAGACTGTTTTCATCCATCGTGATTTAGCCACTACCCACTAACTACTTGTGCAGGTGATTTTCCTCCATCCTGTCCATAATTATGCTCTTGTTGCATATGACCCTTCTTCTCTGGGAGCTGATGGTGCCTCGGCAGTTCGTGCTGCGGAACTTCTACCTGGTAGGTGTATTATTGTTGATTCACCGATCTCTGTTCACAAATATGGAATATTTCGATTGAATTCCAGAAGCATACCTAACTTGAGGGCCTATATTATTATATATTTAAAAATGGGCATGAAGTGGAAATCCATAACTAAGAAACAAATATTTGTAGTAAGTGTAGATGGATATTTGGAGAGCACATGCTTTTCGTGAACATTTTTAACCAAGGATAGTCAAAGCCATGAGACTACCCTGAAAAGCCTGATAATAATGTGCGCCAGAAGCGGTCTCTGCGTAATACCATTCCTTGATGTTCTCACTATGCTGCTCTTTATAGTCTCTACCAAAATAGAATGTAATTATTTTTACTTTTTACCATGTAGATTTGCATTAAATTGATAAGCATTTCCATGATATCAAAATTAATGCACTTGCATTGTATGAATGAGACTCTCTGTTCTGTTAATGGTAATGGGAAGAAAGATCATACATGTTGTGACAGAACCTCTGCTGCGTCGTGGAGATGCCGTCTGTCTTGTGGGATTAAGTAGGAGCCTGCAAGCTACTTCAAGGAAATCTGTTGTCACCAACCCTTATGCTGCTTTGAATATTGGCTCTGCTGATCGTCCGCACTATAGAGCAACCAACATGGAAGCCATTGAGCTTGATACTGGTAACTTGACGAGTCATTTTAAGGCTTGAAATGGATATCAATTTTTCAAATGTTGATTGTCCTGCTGTCTTGTGTTGTTCTTCTTGATAAGTTTGTCTTGGCGTCATCTGATTTGGGTTTCAGATTTTGGTAGTACATTTTCGGGTGTGCTAACCGATGAGCATGGCAGGGTTCAGGCTCTATGGGGAAGCTTTTCCACACAGGTTTGTCCTGTTCACTCTTTCTTGTGAGCTGCCTTATTAGGCAAACTTGTTTTGATTCTTCCATTCCCAATTACAGCTGAAATATAGAAGTAGTTCATCAGAAGATCATCAATTTGCCCGAGGCATTCCAATTTACACAATCAGCCAAGTCCTTGACAAGATAATATCTGGTGCAAATGGACCAAAGCTTCTCATAAATGGTGTCAGAAGGCCAATGCCACTCGTCAGGATTTTAGAGGTTGAACTTTATCCAACTTTGCTTTCCAAGGCACGTAGTTTTGGACTGAGTGACAAATGGATCCAGGTACACTCCCTGATATGAATTTCTTTTTTCTATCTCATGCTTTCAATCTGGCTGCAGTTTCCTTTTGTTTTAGCATCTAGATATGATTTGGATCTACTGTCTATTTTGTTGTATTTTGAAGTGACGTTTTTCCTTCCCTGCAAAAATGGAAAAAATGGGGAAAAAGGGAAATGTTTTTATCTTCTCCCTAAGAATGTCATGAAATATCACGTTATCATCACTCTTTTTATTGCCTATTTTGTTTGGATTGTATTTGGAAACACTGATGCTTGGAAAATATGGTATAATGTGCCCATTTTTGCATTTTCTGCAATCACTTATGGTTTATGTGACTCTTGTAGGCTCTTGTTAAGAAAGATCCAATTAGACGTCAAGTCTTACGTGTTAAAGGTTGTTTGGCTGGATCGAAGGCTGAGTCTCTATTAGAACAAGGTGACATGGTCTTGGCGATTAATAAAGAGCCAATCACATGCTTTCGTGATATTGAAGATGCTTGCCATGCGTTGGACCAATGTCATGAACATGATGGGAAGCTTAACATGACTATCTTTCGTGAGGTGTTCAAACAATCTCTGCCCTATTTGGTTTTCATTTTTCCCCTACCTTTCATTTCATTTTGAATTATTTGGTAAAGAGGATCTGACAATGGTATATTAGTTAACTCCCTCTGTCCTATTTTATGTCTTACATTCTATCTTATATGTCAAGGTTTGAAAATTTTATCCTCACTTTTTCATATTGCCCTTCAACTTTATTTTGAATGCAATTTCAGTATCCAAAAAATGTTATTCAAATGAGACAAAGGCTTCTTTGTAAACCTATTATTCCAAAAAAAAAAGAAAGAAAGAAAGAGAAACTTCCTTTAAACTGTGTGCATGGTCATGCCACACAAAATGGGACACAGGGAGTATCAATTTCAATTTACCATTTGCTTGTATTAAAGATAGAAGAGTTATTTAGAAAATCATCTTCATAAATGGTCTTTATGGTCTGGCAGGGACTTGAAATTGAACTTCTTGTTGGAACAGATGTGAGGGATGGGAATGGCACAGCACGAGTTATGAATTGGTGTGGGTGTATTGTCCAGGATCCTCACCCAGCAGTGCGTGCTCTAGGATTTCTTCCTGAAGAAGGCCATGGTGTGTATGTGGCAAGGTGAGGGTTTTTGTCTTAGTTGTAATAATGCTAAGGCTTTATTTAGTTAGAGACAATAGCGAGAATTACAATGCTGACTTCCTACTTCTAGTCATAGGAAATTAGGAATTGCTTCTGAAATAACCCGCATCAGCTTTGTTAATTATAACCGATGAATTTACCTTTTATAATTTTTAAAACTTGTGACAAGTAATAAAATTTTCCAGATGGTGTCATGGGAGTCCAGCAAATAGATATGGCCTGTCCGCTCTTCAGTGGATTGTGGAAGTTAATGGGAAACCAACTCCAAGTTTAGATGCTTTTGTTCACGTGACAAAGGTACGTCTGCCCGTATCTATCTAGGCATGCTTAAAACTACAATTTCTTTTTATAGATTAATTGAAAAATATTTCTGCATTGCCTCACTTGTAATTTATAATCATGCGCTAATAATACTTTGTTACATGGAGTTGGTTACAAGTATGAGGTGTGGGTACCTTTCTATGCGTCAAACCTTCATAAACCTAAATCTTATGACTAGGGTACGAGTATGGGGATGTGTCATGGGCATTTATATATATTAGACATTATATAATATTCTTAAATGTAATGTTGTAAATTATGTAGAAATGTAATTGAAATTAAATATGAATTAGTAAAAATATAAAATCTCTCATTTTTGTGAGGCTAGAAAAATGTTTCTCTACTAGCAAATGTGAGTTTATTATTCTTCAACAATGTTGTCAATATCTTACGATTCACGATATGTATCTTACGATTCGACACCTTTCAGAAGGAAGTCGATACTATCATCAAAACGTATCTTAAATTAAATGTATCTTACGATACATATACGATGTGGAAACATAATGCAATACGTATGTTACATAAATACTTAAATTTCTTTAGCAAATTTGAAAAAAGTTATTCAAATTATTTTATGTAAATTAATACTGTCAAAAATTTTCATTAACTTATAAAGAAAATTAATAAATAAATAAAAATAAAAGTAAAAGTTATTTTTGAGATGAGAATGGTACTTTTTAGTTTATTTCTCGACCTTTTTGACATATCTATTGTATGGTTTAAGAATCTTGCATTATTAATTTATGCTTTGTGAAGATAATATGTATTGTTGTATGTATATATTTAATTTAAAGAACTTTGCTTTTGCAATGGACATAATTATACATTGTTTAGTGTTTTATTCTTATAAGATATTTGTTTTTTTATAACTATATTTATTTTTTTACCTATTTCTAAAGGTATTAAAGTATCTTACAATACACGATTCAAAAAAATTAAAAAACGATACACAATTCGTATCCCGATTTGACAACAATGTTCTTCAAACATTGTAAAGAAATTGGAGGATCTGAGTGTCTAAATTGGACATGTGACACACATCCCACAACCTTACCTTGTCATTTCACGTGGATACAATACAAGTACTTTGGGAGAAGTAGAAAAGTCCATGTAGATATGCATGAGACACATGAATTCTTCATCAAATTTGAACACACTTATACATTAATAGCAAGTTAACGACCATGGAAAAGCATGCCAAAGGTGGTTAGTGGGTTCCTATTTATGATGACTCTGCCTGGGCCATGGTTCTCACCGCAAGGCAAGTCTGCATGCTTGAGGCACACAGATTGGGAGTGTTTTAGAGTTTAAGGCATGCGAATTGTGAATTTGGACTTCTATGGCTGTTCCTTGTTTCACTATTCTCGAGCCTCTAGTAAATGTTTACTTGATGCTTGAGCCTAACAGGCCATCTATGTCTTGTAGCATATGCATTGATAAAACCAAGCAGCTGATAGATTTCCATGTGAAACATTTCAACTGCTAGGTCGTCTTAACCAAGCTAGCACACATTCTTAGCTGTTATGAAAATGGGTTGTGTTGTGGTGGCGGTTTTTTTTCTTTCGTATTTTATTGTCTGGTTTTATTTTTGTGATTTTAGCAGATTGAATTTATTTTCATTTGATAGTGTTGTATGACTCAAATTTTCTGCCTTTTGCTTCTTTTGCATTACTAAACACTCAAAGAGTGCTGCTATTAGCACCCCATCAATTATTTTGGATTCTCCATCTCTTTAGACCCCTACTTATAAATTCTAAAACCTTTAAAATTTCTTTTCTCTTCCCAAATAATACCAAAATTATCTTTATGAAAAGATTTCACCCATTGAATGTACATCCCCCACACCCCAAAAAAACTCATCTTTCAAAAAACTCTTAACAAAACCCATCAAGAAGAGGAAGAGCCAATGTGATTGTTGTCTCATCCACTATTGGCACAGTTGGTATGCGCTCTCTCTCTCTATATACATATATACATATATACATAATTTCTTAGTTTTCTCGTAATAATTTCTTCTCTTGCAAGAAAAAAAATTATAATAATTGGTTTGATTGGTTTTGTTGATAAATATTATAAAATTGTGAGTTCAGCAAAGAACTACGCAGCAAAATTATCAAAGCTACGCGATGAAGGAATAACTTTTGAACCTGATAATGGATTTGGGCTAATTCCCATAACTTCTGCAAGTGTTTAAAATTTTGTTCATTCAATGCGTTAAGAAATTTCAATGTTCGAACCTGCATTTCTGAACATTACTTATTTGTTTGGGAATGCCTTCCCGAACAAATAAGTAATGTTCGGACATGTATTTCCGAACTTGAAAAAATGAAAACTTCAGTAAGCCTTAGCAATTTTGACCGTTCAATGTGTTAAGAAATTTTCATGTTCAGACCTTCATTCCCAAACATTACTTATTTGTTCGAGAATGCCTTCCCGAACAAATTATTAATGTTCAGGCTTGTATTCCCGAACTTGAAAAAAGGAAAATTTCTACAAGCGTTAATAATTTTGACCATTCAATGTGTTAAGAAATTTTCATATTCGGATCTGCGTTTCCGAACATTGCTTATTTGTTCGGGAACGCCATCCTGAACAAATAAGTAATGTTCAGGTCTGTATTCCGCCAAGGGTTGCTACTGTTACCGTCAAAATATTGCCATTTCCGGAGAAGTGTAGGTAGTCAAATGGTTGACATTGTTGTTGTTGGAATATTGCCGCCTAAGGGTTTTCAAGGTTTTGAAGGAGAGATTTGGAGAAAATGGATGAGTGGTGATAGAGGTGGGTGTTCTCATAAATCATAATTCATGATATAGTGGGTGTCTAAGTTTAATTGTGAGATGGGTGTCCCAAAATTAATAATGTCTTTTTTAATAATTTTATTTGAGGTTATTATTGTAATAAAAAAAAGTTAAAAATTGGAAGATCCAAAATGATTTATGGAGTGCTAATAGCAGCACTCTTTAAGAAAATGTGCCATCACTTGCTTTTTGTTGTTTTTGCTAATTTTGGCACTTTGTTTTCATCAAATGCCAGCCTTCACTTATGAAGTTCAATGGAATTTTAATAGTATTTTTGCACATTTTAATAGTATTTTTACATGTGCGTTTTTTTAATTAGGCTTGATTTTGTCCTATTATTTTTTTCTTTATTAGTTTATTGAAATTATCTTCTGTTTATTTTATGGAATACTAGTGGTCGGAGCACACGATACGTGTGCAAATCAAATAAATAAAAATAAAACAAAATACATACTATATACTGTTTATTAGTCAAGTGGGAAGTGTTTTCTTTAACATTTACAGATTTAAGGTTTGAGTCTCACTCCTGTTTTTTTTTTTTGTTTTTTGGGTTTTATTTTATATAAAATGAGGGACTTGGGGCTGAGGAAAATCAACCAAAGGAAGTCCAACCTTTTACTTAATAATAGTATAGATAGATAGAAATTTGACACTTGGTGTTGATAACTTAATTTAGTACTTAAAATTGAATGCATTAAGTGAAAATGAATTAATCTGGTCGTTTGATAATTAAAATTTGAAGTAGCTTTTAAAACAGAGGGAATTACAGCACAGTGGGAACAAAGAAAAAAATTAGAAAACATGTAGGGTGCAAGTGATTCTGTGATGAGGTACAAGTGAAAAGTTGTGGAGGTGCAAAGGTTACTTGCACCCTTTCATGTTTGTGAAAAAAAAAATTTTGTCCCACTTGGATGTAATTCCCCCTTTAAAAGATAGGTTAAAAGTTAACAAAAATTTAAGTGATAAAATTTACTTAATTTTGATTGAATTTATAAATAATTTTGTACATGTGTCAACATACATGGTTAAAATCTCACTTCTATTGTTGCCATCACCACTATAATTACTACCACCACAACAACCTTCACCATTGTTACCATTATTTCATTACTATCACCACACCACTGTCACAATCTCAGTACATCACTATCATCCCGTCACTACTATTACAACTATCCTTCACCTCCACAACTATTGTCACCATTATCATGACTTTCGCCATCATTATACCATTATTGCCACCTTTTTTACATCCATTCACCATCACCAGAACCACTGTTTTTACTTCCACCACCATTGTCATCGTCGCCTCTGTCATTATACTATAAAAATAAAAAGTTATAATTTAAAAATAATAAATTTTAAATTTGATCTTGTATATATCAAACATGTTTTAGTTCAACGCTTATTTTTTTAATCAAATAAATTTTCAATTTAAAAAATTTAGCATTCAGTTTTCATTACTTAACTTTCAACACTCGGCTTTCAATTTTTAATTTTATTGAACACTACCTTACAATTTACCTCACAATGACAAGTTATGTGTTAATTTTTAATTTGTCAAAAATTCCACACATAAGCAATAATTTTTAAAAAAGAAAATGTTACTTACATTCGCACTAATTACCACATTATCATTGGCACAGTTGAGATACATCAATAATAAAAAATAATCACATATTTTTATTCCATCATAAGCAAACATAATACAATAGTGCACACTCATTTTATCTATCACATGATGTAACTTGTACTATATAATGCCGTTTTTGATTTGACCGTTTTTGTTTTGACCGAAAAAAAAAAAAAATTTTTTTTTTGCCCAAAATGTTTTCTATAGAAATTTTTTTCTAAAAAATCTTTTTCATAAAAAACACTTATGTTTGATTGCATTCTTGAAATTAATGTACTAATGGTTGCATTAGTACTAGCGATAGTGGTGGCAATAGGGTGGAAGTGTTGGCAGTGGTGGTGGCAGTGTAGTAATGAGGTAGAGTTGGTAGTGGTGGTGGCTGTGGTGGTGGTAGTGGTTGAAATGTGGTGGCACTGATAAAACTTTGGTTTGGAAAACGTTTTTCACTTTTTAAAAGTAAAAAATATTTTTTGTCTAAATATGCTTGTTTTCCATTGACCATAGAAAATGGTTTCCATTGATTTTCATTTTTTGTTGGACCAAATGATGGGAAATATGGAAAAAAAAAATTCAAAATTTTTTTCCACCCAAACAAACGAAGCATTACAATTCAAAAATATCTAAATCTTTTATTTCATTTAGTTTTGTGAGAGAATAATCTGAAATAATGTTTGGTTCACTCAAAAAAAAATTGAATGGAATGGAATGGAATGATCATTTTTTAATTTTTTATTGAATGATAATTATTTTATAATGGTAAATGATGATATTTTTTTACAATGCATCTCCATAATTTTTAAATCCACCAAATATGAGAATAAATATTTTGAAGATATGATTATTTTATCCTACTGAACCAATGAAAACATTAGAGTAAAAAACCACACTATTTGGTTTTCAAACGGTAAAATTATTTAGTTTTTGTTTTTCGTGAGTTTTGTATTTAGTGGTTTTTTTTTATATACACTTTGTCTAGACACATCTAAAAAATACTTTTTAACAAATGTGAAGAAATTTGAAAAAATAAATAAATAAATAAAGCGCTTACTAAAAATAAAAATAAAAAGAAGAAAAAATAAGCACTTTTTCATATTTTTTATTTTTTAGTGAAATTTTTTTCAAACTTCTCATAAATATTAAAATTTTAAGTATATTTATATTAGGTGCATCAAAATAAATAGATTATTAATTAAAATCTAAAAAAAAACTCAAAAATAGATGAAGACAAAAATAAAAGCTCATTTTTTTTAAAAAAAAAATTCTAAACTCTATTAGAATGTGTGTATTTCTTAAATTTAAATTTATCACAATCAGTGTGTTTGGTTTCAGTTTTTTGAATTAAGTTTTTTGAAAATTGAGTTTTTTGGTTTTCGTATTTTTTTGTTTTGTGTGAATATTTTTAAAATTTTAAACATTTTATTTATTTATTTAGATGCACCTTACTTAGATGCATCTAAAAAGTAAAAAATTTGTGAAAAAATATTTTTAAAAATTAATAAATACATAAAAATATAAAAAATGTACTGAATTCTCGTATTGTTTTTGTATTTTTGGTATTTAGTGAATTTTTAAAATGTTTTTTTCAATTTTTTTTTACTTTTTAGGTATATTTATGTTAGGTATGTCTAAAAATTAAAAAAATTGCTCAAAACATTAAAAAAATTCAGTAAAAACAAAAAAATACGAAAAATAAGAAAGTATAATTTTTTGAAAAATGTTTTTGAAAAATGATAATCAAGCATAGTGAACCCCGTGCAAGGCATGGGCATTTTACCCTAGTATCTATATATCTGGACCTAAAGGGTTGCACTCTTATCACAAAAATATGGTTTTACCCTAAAATTGTGTAACATCAATAACAAAATGTATAATCTCATTACAAATTAGCATAATAAAATGTCCAAAATTTTTGTGGTTAATGATGTAAAAGTTTTTGGCTTAGTTAGGTTATGCATGACATAAAAGTTTATGGCTTTGATACGGCATTTTTTGTTACGTCAATTTGTAATAGGATTACACATGTTGTAGCAGGGTGCATATGGTAGCATTTTCCATATATCTAGGCTCGAATAACTCGATTTAGATCTGTTGTTATTGCATACGATGTAATGGGTTGGGTTAGGCTGTGGGCTCATACAATAAAATTGCGGGCTTATTGTGGGGCTTGGTCCAAATGGGCCAGACTTCTATATCTAGAGGCTCTGTGAATTATAGGATTTTCCTTTTTTCAAAAAAGGTTTATTCCCTTATTACATGTTGGCTTTTTCTTTTTATATTTGTTTTGAGGATCTTTCTTGCACATATTTATAATTTTCTTTTAATGTAATAAAAAAAATGTAATTAAAATACAAGGAAAAATATGTTAAGTTTGTTGTGAAGTTTTTTCAAACCTATTATATTATTATTTGAAGGCATTTGTTATTCTCAAACTTTTAAAATTATTAACTTTTTTATCTTTTTTTTCTTGCCATTTCTATTGACAAATTTAAAATCCATATGTAGAAATTAAAATTAAATCTTCTAAAATATGCCCCTCCATTTCTCGGTCATTCGGCATATTAATTCCATGTTGATCATTCAAAAGGAAAAGTCTCAGAAAATTATGAAGTCCAAGTGTCCATCAATGGCCATAGGGGGTTCGAGGACAACAATGTAATGTTGAATCACCAAAAACTCCAAGCAACTCATTGTTGTCCTTTGTTTTAATCTTTCCTCAACCACTTACAAAAATAGATATATTTTTTGATTTGTATCCAGCTGTAATGACTGACTAATATGATTTCTAAAATATATATATATATATATATATATTTGGATTGGTATCCGACCGTAATGACTGACTAATATGAGAGATCAATCCCAACGTAGTGGACAGTGGGACAGTGGGATTAAGGGAAGAAGAAGAAATCATAGAGTCCACTCTTTTGCTTATGTCTCATCTCTTTACTGACTGACTATAAAGCTAGTGTTTATATAGGTTAGTCGTAAATAAGATAGTCTCTTGCTTAAAAATGCTATCTGTATCATTTGCATTTATTGAGAGAAAATTATACTACCAATATGTCTTGAATTTGGAGATTTAAAAGGTTGAATTTGGATATTTTAAAGGTTTGGAATCACTAGGAACTCTAATGATGTGTTAAAAATACCAAGTAAAATAGATGGACTACTTGAAATTGACAAGTTGAGAGTTAGCAAAACTCTTGCATCAATTCGAAGAGAAAATCGAAAGCTTTCACGAGGAATGTGCGTTAAGGATGTGGTCGTATTAGGCGGGGAATAATGTCACAACTTGGGAATTTTATCAAATATTTGAGTTACGAATTCGATTTTACATTTATGTAAAATTTTGTAGAAATCCTTATAATTAGGTAGATAATTGCAGTATTTTTTCATCATAAGGTGGTGGAAGGATGTAGATAGCTTTCATACTACTAGATCATTGAAATTTATACATATCTAGACTATTAATTAAAATATATAATAGGCAATCATTTGGTTATAATGGAAGAATTAGATAGTTTCCACACCATTGGATTGTTGATATTTGTATATATCTAGACTATTAATTGAAGATTTGAAGGCCAAAGGCATCATTTGGCCAAACTAACAAAGCAATTGTAAACTCTCCATACTTCCAATTCGAAATTTACTTCTTGTGAACTTGCTATTTTCAATTCAAACTCTATACCATCTTGAAAGTCCATCAGGGTGAGTACCACATGGACACAAACCATGGAAGGCCATGGCCTCCCTGCCTAGTATATATATATATGGGTTCATTTTATGAGTCACATGAACTACCCTATCTAATCTTCAATTTTATCCTCACAAGACATACGGCTATGCATTTAAAGTTCATTTTCCTAGAGTTCATTTTCAACTAGATGTTATGTTTATGGAAAAGAAACATTATATGGTTGGATTATAAATCCTTATGCTCTTATTAACAGGAAATAGAGGACGGGGAGTTCATTCGTGTAAGGATAGTTCACTTGAATGGGAAACCTCGAGTACTAACATTGAAGCAGGATTTGCATTACTGGCCTACGTGGGAACTGAGATTCAATCCTGAAGCTGCAGTGTGGCGTCTTAAAACAATCAAAGCATTAGATGAGGGTATTGCATGAACGTACTCTTTTAATTTTGCTGTCTAGAAATTGTGATATGAAAAACATAGTTAGGCTCTGAAATTACTTCAAATTGAATGTGGTGAATCCTATTGTTGGTTTTCGTACTATTTGTATTGTGATTTTTTAGTACGTCTTATTGGGAGGCTCATATAAAATTACATTTGAATGACATCATAAGTTATATTTGAATAATTGAAATAAATAAAATACCAATTTCAGATTTTCCATCATCTTTTGTTCCCCTCCCCCCACTTTTCTGATTTTGGTGGTGTATGTTTTTATAAGAAAATGGTCTGCAAACAATAAATTTTTGAAGAATTTCAAACAAGAAATATGTCACATTGATGAATCTTTCATATATGTCACAAATTTGTGTTGTTGTCAAGAGCAAACTAACTTGAAAGGAGAAATGTCTTGGTGTTTGAACCCAACCTTGTTCACAGGAATGGTATCCATCTTCACAAGAGGCTTGTGTGTGTGTGTGTGTATTGCAATCTCTTTGAACTGCCATTTCAAGTACTGTGAATATTGCAATTTATCATCTTCATAACAGGCTTAGTGTGTGTTAAAATGTACATAAAGATTAAGTAGACTCAATTTTGTATTAAAAGTTTGTTAATTTAGCGAGGGACTCGGTACTTCAATGAAAATGTTAGTATTAAATCATTAAAAGGAAAGAGAAAGTGTAGTCTTCAGCGTTCATTTGGAAAGTAGGTTTTTTTAGTATTTTTTATCTTTTTATAAAATAACGTGCAAACAAATAAAGAGAATATAATTAAAATTTTAATTTTTTAGCTTATGGCCAAAGGTGTGGTGTGTATACTTGTATAAATGTGTGTTTAGTGTGCTCAGCATCTCCATTGGAGATGCCCCAAGGATCCTAATAATGAGCCAAGGCCAGTAGTATTGCCCCAACTAGGAATGGTGTAGGAATAGAACACCACAAATCCGATCTCACTCTACTTCATTGCTATTCCTACTTTTATTCTAAAATTTTGCCCCTATATTCCCAATACATTTCCAAACACAAGATTATGTCTCAAGATTTCAATATTTCAAAATTCCAGTACATCTTGTGGCTAAGAGTGTATTGAAAAAGAGGAAAATAAGGATATTGGGATCAAAAGATTAAAATTGGAATGTAAAATAGCAATGATCAAAGTACATTTTTTGGATTCTTGTTAGATTAGATTAATGCTGTTTTTGGATTAAGGATTTAGACAAATTAAAAAAAAAAAGGAAAAAAATGAGAAAAATGTGAATGAAATATAAGGTAAATTATTTCTTCATTTATGTTTTCCTTTAAAATTCTATCAAAATCTATAATTTAAACATGGACTAAAAAAAACGAAAACAAAAACTTGGAATAGAATTACAATAGAGTGACAAAAAAGCCAACACTATTAACAATCCACATCCAAACAAAACTATCAAACTTACAACATTCCATCCTGTTCCGGAGTAGATATCCATATCATATGGATTGGTCGGCACTACTACAAACACAATTAAAGATCACATTTTGACAAAAGAAAATATCTCACTTTTATTAGAAGTGTGATAAAAAAATTAGGTTGATATTTTAATCACACTTGATTTGATTAATTGTAATAATATTTATTTTTTATCTCACTTTTTAATTAAGTGTGATTATATATATTTTTTAATCACATCTTCTAATTAACATGTGATTAAAGATCACATAAGAAGAATTAAAAATATCTCACTTTTGTTAAAAGTGTGATTAAAAAAATTAAAATATTTTTTTAATCACATTTAATTTAATGAGTGAGATAATATTGATTTTGATTGCGCAATTGATATTGATGACCACATTTTCTTGTTGAGAGAGAGAGAGAGAGAGAGAGAGAGAGAGAGAGAGAGAGAGAGAGATATAAGGGTTGTTTGGTTAGGTAAACAGTATTGGCATTTTTGTGGGGGTATAGAGGATAGAGAGTTGGTGTAATGAGCCTCTTCTATGGTTGTATAAATTGTGTGAGTGATTTTCTGATCACACTGCTCGTTTAGTAATCAGCTGGAGAGCACCGGCAGAATAGATGGCTTCAGCTAACCTGTAACAGAAAGAAAAGGCTCCGGCGGTGGCTCTTCCACCCGGGGGCACTCCGACGATTAAGTCAGTATATCTCTCAAAGATAAATCAAGTGCTAAACTCACAAGCTTGAGTATCAAAAGCATACCTTAGACCCATGGGGGTACCTCTCTTTTATAGCCAATACAATCCTAGTCCCAATAGGAGCCTAACTTCTATGGACTTAGGATTACTGCTGATCTTGGACTCCCAGTAAGATTAGGATAAACTCTCTAAGAGTCTTATCTTTACCCAAACTGAAGTCTTCTCCCAATCTAGGACTCTTGTCCATATCTAGGTTGAGTTCCCTCTTTATTCTAGGACTCTTGCCCCTTATCCGCTTATCCCAGATTCCGATATCTTTGGAGGAAACCTCGGCCTAGCCGAGATGACCTCGGCACAACGACCAAGACACGTGGCACCTCGGCTGACACGTCGGCGTCACCTTGCCTCACGACCAGGACACGTGGCACCTCGGCTGACACGTCGGCGTCACCTTGCCACGTGTTGGTACTCAGAAAATATATCTCCATAACTGCCCCTAGGTTCTATTACCTCGGCATTCTGAGGTGATGGAACCTACACCGTTCGTTCATCTGTATCCCTCTGTCCGAGATCAAACTTGCCGACCTCAAAGTTCCCTGGACTTTGCTGTCCACTTCTGTCAAGTATCAAGATTCATGCCTTCCAAGCTGCTTGAAATCGCACCTCCTAGCCGAGGTTCTGGTTCCATTAATTCGTAAACTCCAAGAGCTTCTGCAATTGCTCCACTCACACTCTCTGGTGAGTTCCCGATTTCTAGTCATCTATTTGACTCCGGCAATTTTCATATCAGCGTTCATTTCATTTTGTAGGTTCATAAACTCTTTACTTGCTATTAAGCTTAATCTTTCACAACTCTTTTGAATCTGTTTACTTGCCATCTGTTGCCTTTTATTTTTGTCTCTCTTCAAGTTTGGAATTGTTTGAATGCCTGGCACTATTCTTGTCATATCCGCTTTTTGTTGCTAGCATCGTGTCTGGGTCATTACTTTCTTGTTCTTCACATACGTACTTAGTGCCTGTGCACTTGGCTTTATTCATTACCATTCTTGATTACGAATTATATTCTTGTTTCTGTTTTCTGTGTCTTTTTTCAGATTCTTGCTTTCAATCCTTGCCTTCAAACTCCGAGGTGCCAATCGCCGAGAAGAGCCTTGATCAAACTCTTTGGGAGATCGATGCTAAGCTTGAGGCCGAGAAGGCTGCTGAGAAGTCTTCCTAACTGTCTTCTATATCCTGCCATTAATGCCGAGTAGTTTTGTTTCCTTCTTGAAATTGTTGCCAAGATAATGGTAGAGAAGCTCTCCCAGCTGACTGCCAATGCTGAACCACCGTCAACCATTGTAGTAGATTAGTCCGACATTCTTATCCTAGTCCCTAGTTCTTAGGGTCTTCATCTTTGTACTTTTGTTTTCTTTGCATATGCAACCTTTTTTGCTTTTAAAAAATGTCTGTTGTTGGCCGATGTTAACATTCTTTGCTCCTTGATTATCATTCCTTCTTTCACTGTATTTGATAGCCATGTCGGGTAATTGACTTCTTGAATGGCCCTGTTCTCTAGAAGTCTATCTACTTCTTCCTCTACTGCTTCGACATGCATCAACGTCGGTCCTCTTGCTCATTGGATTACAGGTTTGGCCGACCTGTCGACGTTCAGTTGGTGGCAAGTGACCTCGGGGTCAATGCCAGGCATTTCGTAAGGTGTCCAAGAAAATACCTCAATGTTTGCTCTAAAAAAAACTTCCAATTCCCTTTCTTCTTCTTCGGCTAAGCCTGAGCCAAGAAGAAAGAAGCGTTCTTCATCCCCCTCCTGAACGAGGATTTTCCTAAGTGCCTCTTCACTCTTCTCGGCTGGCTCCTTGCCGACATCATCTAGGACCTCTATGTCCTCGTTTTCAATCTCTGCCTTCTCTGGTTCTCAAATGCTGCAGGTGGATTTCATTGCTGTTATGGAGCAATTCTCCGCCTGCAGTTGATCCCCTCTGACTTCTTCAATCCCATGTTCTGTTGGGAACTGCGGTAGTTGGTGCAATGTTGAGGGAACTGCCCCCATTGCATGCAACCATGGCCTTCCCAAGACGATATTGTATGGCGAGGGCGTGTCAATCACCATAAATTCTGTCTTGATCTTCTTCTAACTGCTCTTGCATGATTCTATACTTAGAATATTTTGCATGTCTTATGTACTTTTCATTCTTTGTGCAATCTTCTCGGGGTGGCACACCTCGGTTGTGCCACCTGACGTTTTTCTTCGGCAAGTACTTGTCCTGTAAATTGCTTACAAATTTCAACAAGGATAAACATATACTAGTTTAATCTCATCTTCGTAAACTTTTCTTAAGTTATAACAAGTGCTAAACAATGATTTACTTGTAAATTGCTACAAATTTTCACAAGTGTTAATATATATTAACTTGTAAATTGCTACAAATTTCCACAAGTGTTAAACAATATATATCGGCTTAACTTCAACTTGTAAATTGCTACAAATTTCCACTAGTGTTGAACAATATATATCGGCTTAACTTCAACTTGTAAATTGCTACAAATTTCAACAAGCGTTAAACGCATTCTTCTTCTCTCTGCCCCCCCAGTGTGAACTTAAAATCCACTTGGGTTCTCATCATACATGTAGCTTCGACCTTGTCGCCGAGATTTAATTCAAGCCGAGGTTGTCGGCCTTGGTTTCTCTATTGATCTTACTTGGCTCCAACCTGAGTTTGATTTTCAGCGTCGCATCGACAAGCCGTTTCTCTTTTCTTGATCTGACGCCTTTGTTCCCGACATGTCCTCCTCGGCCCTAGCATACTTCTCAATTCTGGCCAACTTTAGTCTGATCTTGTGTGTTTTCTTTTTATCTTCTGGGATCTGAGATCTGCTCCTTGTGCTCTTCTCTTCTCGGACTCAGGTGCTGAGATCTTATCTTCTGGAATCTTGGATCTGCTCACTCAGGTTGAGCTTTTTTTTTTTCTTTTCTCGGACCTACTCATCTAGGTCGAGATCATGTCTTCTAGGATCCGAGATCTGGAATCCGGGATCTGCTCACTTAGGTTGAGCTCTCGTCTTCTCGAGCCTACTTGTCTAGGCTGAGATCATGTC